TTATGTAATTATAAATATAATTATATGATGATAATTATGGGATGATTGTGGGATTTTTTTCAATTAATCATTCAGAGATGATTGGAACAACTTATTTAATTCAGATTTCATAATAAAAATAGATAAGATTCGAAAAATTCTCTCAACAAAATTTCCATTTTTTTGCATTCTCGCACCCTCACTTGTTAATGAGATAATTGAGTGATTAATAATGGACAATTACCTTGATAACGAGTGGATTGACCCCACGATGAATTTCGAGATAAACAACAGACTTCTCTTGACTAAATTTCATGACAGCTTCTCAGCCATAATTCACACGATAAATTCCACATCCCTGCGCCAGATTCTCTCGCCAAGATCATAAAGATCTCCACATTGGAATCACCGACAGCTTCTGTATTCCCCAAATTGTCATAAATTTTGAATAAATGTGATAAGAAACCCAGACGTTTTCATCCACCTCAATTCCTCGATTATTTAGTAAGTAAATCAGATCACGATGTCATTGTGATTGACTTTCGAAACATCCACCCGGTTTCGAGATCTCTATCAATAGCAATCGGTAATTCACTCATCGCTCCACTGAAAAAAATAAATACTATCAACAAAAAAGATTTCAGATTAAAAAATATTCTCAAGTCTCCACAGATTTTTCAATTATTCGTATTCATATTATCCACAAATAGGTATTCCTTAATAAATATTTTTAGTCTGAATAAGTAATCGTCTCATGAACTCCAATGAAAAAATTACTGTTTCCATTGCACAATTAAAACTTCTATTATTAATTCAATCATCTAGAGAATTCAATTGACCACGAGACATTACGCAATCGGTCCTAGGCGAGAAAAAAAATCTACAATGCACTTTATATAAACGATTGTTTCAATTGTATAAAAATTCAGTGAGAGTTCGTTAACACTGGAATTGAATAAATAAATTTCTGGTGATTCTGAAAATTGGTGGGCTAATTTGGCTAATGAATACGTTGATGACAGCTGCTAATTGGTGTAATTAGTCTAATGAGATATGGAATACCCTCGAAATAGATGTCTCAATGCCGGATCGAAAGGGCAATGGCAAAAGAAGGGGTGTGAGATGTGAGGTAATTTTTCATTGCCCCCTCCACAAGCAATGAAAAAGGGGGAGTGCAATAAACATTTGGTGGAGATAAAAACGCAACATGTGGGCGGGCCAGCACTAGTCAAGGGTGATCATCACCTGGGGAGACACATTCAGCTGCTCCATCCTCAGGTCTGTGAAGTCCAGTCGGTGAAATAAATTGGATTACGCAAGTGCTGCTGTGAGTTGCATAAGAGGATTTTCAGTGATTGGAAATTTGTTTTTCGTCATTGCAGAGTGACATTGAGTGAGAAAAGATGGCAGATGATGAGCCAGCGTGGGATTTCGATGATGTACCTGAGGAGCCGGTTACGGAAGCACCACCTGAAGGCGATGCAGCAGCTCCTGGTGGTGCTGCTCCCAAGAAAGAGGAGCGACCAAAACTCGATTACTCGATTTTTGCAAAAGCACCTAAACCCAAGTACACGCTCCACTGGGTCAGACCTCTCTTCCTCAATTATCGCTATATTTATGATTACAGGTGAAGAGTCTCAAAATTATATTAGTCATTATTCAAAACCTCGACAGAAAATCCTCATTCTATTTTTTTTTGTCTCAAATTTGTTTAACGTTGAGAAATTCTTGTAAATGTAATTTCTTAAATTCCTAGCGCAAATTCCTAGTTTTTCTTTTCTGTTCTCATTGGAATATTCTTGTTTTGCATTTATTCTCAGGGAAAAGTTCAATGAAAATTGACAGTTCTGTTTGGAAATGTCAGATCCTAAAAAATTAAGGAAACCTAACACAGAAAATGAGAAATTTTCTAAAGTGTCTGGTATTTCAAATTTCTACCGCTCTCATAATAAATTTCATCTTCACTCATTTTTCTAAAAAAAATCCAATTATTACTAGCACTCAAAGACGAATTTAATTAATTATTAAAAATATACTTATCAATTTATTATTACTGTCATATTCAAACAATTATAAATTTTTAATTGGTAAAAGAAATTTCAAAAACTATCTCATTGTTTACTGAAAAATTAGGGGGAAATTAGATAAAATTTATTGCTAATGATCATGTGTGTTCATTAATCAATAATTGAAATTGAATTTTATCTAGGCAATTTTACTACAACGACGTAATCGATTGGCTGAACAAAAGAAATCGAGGAATCGAGCGTGATCCACCAAATTGCGAGGAATGGTCTGAAAGGGCATTCAAAATGTACGACGCCAAGAACGTTAACAAAAGTGTGAAACAAATAGCTGATATGCGATGGATAACTCTCTACAGAACAGAGCCAAGATATTACAGTTATCACACACGAGCCTATTACAGCCTAAAGTATCAACCAATCCTCTGAGGTCCCTCCAAAATCGCTCCATCTCTTCAACTTCTCCCCAGTTTGTACGACTGCTCTTTGATGACAAACAAAATTCAAATCTATGGATAAAAACATGACTGAACAACTGTTACTACTCGCTGATATCAATAAAATCATATTACGCATCTTGAACGAGTATAATGTCAACACTTTAATGTAGCAATGAACTCATACACGAATGGTTCTTTTCTTCGTTTGTATTCATAATAAACAACTATGAATAACTATTTATAGTAAATATATGGGTATTTGATTATTGTTACTGAGTTGCGAAGCGGATCGATCAATTTTGTCAATTCGTATTGTTAGAAAATAATTCGAATAACGATTTTAATTGAAAAATTTTAATGCATCTTGTTAATTTTTCCAGATCAATTAATTTTATGATTGTGAATTGAGGGGGAATTCAGTGCAGATTCCGAATTCAATTGAAAATCGAAAGAATTTTTAACAGTGACTGAATTTTGGTAAACATTTTTTTTCTCAAGCTGAAAAAATATTGCAGTACGAGGGGAACTTTGCGTCATGAATTGAACCAAAAAGCATAAACATTAATAACAGAAGGAACAATAAATAATTTATATAAATGCTCAAAAATACAAGATGGAGTTATTTGTCTCGCCATTTTGTTCAAATACCGCGTGCCTCTGCTGCAAGGGGTTTCCAACATGGCGGCGTTCCACCTCGTAATTTTAAACAATAATTAAACTAATAATTATCTTCCCAATCGCCGCAAATCTGTCTCATCCTATTCCAGTGAAGTGAACAAATTGTTTAAACGCCCCCGAAGAAATTTTCATTGCCATTTGGGGGAGAATTCGTGCAGCAAAGTTGTCACCGGATTTTTCTCGCAATTTATTCAGACGATCCAAAAAGTTTTGATGCATTTCTTGTTGCCGTGTCTCCTTTTCCTTTTATTTAATCTTCCATCAGTGTGACAAAGAGGGATTCACATCGTCGTGAGTATATATTTAATTTTCATTTTGCATAGGCACGGCTGAACATTCAACAGTTATCTAATTATCAACTTCGTTATTTCAGATTATGGAAATAAATCGGTGAAATAATCGGGGGACAATCGTTGATTAAAATTAAACATCGAAAAGCAGATGATATTGCCTCGGCCAATGGCTAGTTCTTTAATTAATCATTCAGTGAATTTCTGTTATTACTATTACGTTCGTAATTTTTTTTTTTTTGATTCTGTTGAGTAATTCATTACAGATAAGGGAGATCGGAGGGTTGAGAAGAATCGGAGGTCTCCAATTATTGTTTTATCGCTCCCCAACTAAACCCTCCAATCTCATAAATATAAGTTATCGTACGGAGGACAGTGGTTATTAAATTGAAATCGTTTAAAAACACATTATAACAATTAGTCGATGATTTTGTTCTTGTTTTATCGCACATTTTCACATACGGAGTACACACGTACCCCAGCACTTGCACCAAACATATCTATAGGACAGGGGGATGAGGAGGATGAGGGGGATGAGGGGGACTGGAGAACTGGATAACTGGAGCATGAAAATGGGTGATTTTGGAATTTCACATTGTTCGTATACACCGGAAAATATAATAGGGGCTCTTGACGGTGAATTGTGTGTTCATTCGAGCGGCAAGAAAGCTTCAAAACTCGTAACTTCAAATAGTTAACAATAGGTCATGAATATCTCGGTTTAATCGACTTCAAGAAGAATTTTCATTTCATATTTTCGTTGAATCGCGACACCTATAATTAAGCGCATTTATCATTGTTTAGTTTATAATTTTTCGAGTTGTGACATGTGAGAAGGCTAATGCAACGCTCATTCAGACGAATGGACACTCATTTGGGGAGTGGATAAATAATGGGAGTCCACCAAAGGCTGGAGCTTCCTCAAGATCTTCAGAAATTCATGATGAAATTCATGGTGAATTATATATTTTGTGCTCCACTCTCAACTTATCACAACCATCAAGTCCTTCTCACTCTTTTTCTTCCCCCTTTCATCCCCTTGAAATGTTGCCCTCTCTGACCAATGAGACGTTAGAGTGGCAATTGGTGGTAATTCTCAAGACAACTTTCTCCATCACATCATCATCGTCGACTTGAATACATTGACCCGACTTAAATACATGTGACAAGCGTATGTACCGACTCAATAGATAATCTCTTACTGATTCATTTAATTACTCTGTTTTCTGCTTTAATTCCTGAGGAGAAAAGGTCACTAATGACAGAATTAATAATTCCTTCTATACTGAAATACTTTAGAAGACAAACGCCATTATTCCAGCAATAACTTCACACATCGGCCCCCTTTCGCCCCAATTATACATTTTCCATCTATTATTGGAGGTCAGGAGGTGCACAGGCATCGGCTATTCCATAGAACGTTCATGTGTATCGGAAATGTGGTCACGAGCCTTCGGATGGAAACTTTCGTTATAATTTGTTTCATTTCCCAACTGCTCTATTTAATCGATACCCCCAATGCTCTCGATTATTACTCAAATAGAGATGCGGAGCGATAATGATACCGATTTGTCACTTTGGCGATAAATTAACGATAATTACCGTAATTATCTTTTTCAATTCTATTACCGTTCATTTACGTCTATTTTATACGATTTATAAACAATTAACACGAGTTTGCAATGAGTTTAATTTTACTCAAGATTTAGAGAATTTTGATAATTCATTTCCAAGTGCTGTTTGATATTGAAAAATACTCGAAGTTCATTGATCCTTTTTTTGGGGGAAATAAATAAATAAGAGTTTGGAGAGAGATCTAAATTGTTAAGGTTTTCTCGAGTTCACTTCATTCCCCATCTCTAATTACGATTCAATCCTTCAGCAATAACTCGGACCAGTTTCTGTACAAATGCGTATCAAAAAGGCCAGAAGTTGTTTGATTTGTTCATATGTTTCCTTCAACGGAGCTTATTCGATATTAGCAATTTGTCGATGCTCGAGTCGTATCAAATCATGCACGATATTAACGATTCAGTTAATCGTATTAGTTTTTCTACAATTAAATTAGCTGGGAGATACGCCAAATGAATGTCATCTTTCAATGAGTGATTATTCATCTGAGAGATAGGAAATAATTGTTCATCCTCAGTTACACATTTGATGTTTTTTTTTTCAATTGTTAAAATTACTTCAATCCTCGGTTTATTCATTGTTTCAATTTTCAATATTGTTTAGGTATCATCAATTAGATCAAAAGTCTGGAGTAGATTCGTACGACTTAACATTAATGAGCGCAAGACGAAGAGAATTTACATCTTAGTTATAGTAGAGAATAATTGCTTTTTTTTTCGTTAGCATTTCGAGAGAGTAATTTTCGTAAGGACTTGAAAGTGAAACGTAAAATTTTAGTCGACAAACGAGACTAGAAAATTTATATTGAACGTTTAATTTTCCTTCCTCCGATAGTTCTATGCTCTCCAATATTTTCCATTAAATACGAATTATTTAATGTACCATTTAACTCTCGAGCGACAATGAACAATTAATTAAAAGACATTATTGTAACCACATGGTTAACCATAAATTATGACTTGAAAATACATCTTTCGAAAAAAAAAACATTCAATAGCCTTACATTATCCAATTCCCATTATTCCAATAATCATTAATCTCTAGCCATCTGCAGTTGAAACATTTTAATCGTTATTCTCATCAATTTATCATCCGTACATACATTATCACCAGTTTTACACACTTACATTTTAATGACACGTTCATTCAGCGAAAAATAATAATAAATCTCTAAAAAGGACTCTTGGACAATTGCCCGACAATAGCGGGATAGTGCATAATATTTCTTCATATTTTCAGAACATTTCTTCATAGTCGGGATTAATTGAAACGTGAGTTGGCCGAGTGCCTCGGCGTCTAACGCAAAATGTCTATTCATTCGGGTTTTAAAATAAAAGGGCCTTAACTTACGAATAGAAAGAAAACAACAACTTTGAGCTTTTTTGGATGATCATCGAGGATTAGTGAGGAAAATAATGAACCAGGACAGAAGGATGGAATTTTCGCATTAAAAATGGAGAATCACCGGAGAAGAAAGCCCAGAGAGGAATTCAACAGCGATGTGAGAAATACCCTCTTCAATCCCCAATATCTCCAACGGTACAATTCCACCGAATAAATTCTTCCTTTGAACCTCAAAAACGCTCTTGAAGATGAAAAAAAAATCGGGAAATTTCTCTCTACCAATTGCAAGATATCGACGATTGAAGAGAGGTGTTTTAAATATCTCTGAATGTGGAACAGGCACGGGGAATTAAGTGACAATATTTCGTAAAGCGAACGTAAATTTCTGATAAACACCTAAAATAAATCGATAAATAAGAATAAGATAAACCAGAAGGGATCAGAAAACTAGCTTGAAAAGTTTTTAATTTGAAAAAATATTGAACAAATAGCAAAGAACTCCAAAGAACTCCAAACAACTCCAAAGAACTCATCCTGCACATCTTCAGAGATATCCCAAAACCAAAAAATCTCGCATCACCGTTTTCCCAATACCTCCCCCACATCCTCAATCATTTAAACAAACATGGCCGAGCATTGAATTCTCGCATAGCCCACCCCCTGTCGATATTTACCGGACCCTTTTGTTTGTCAATCCACAGCGCACTTGAATCCAATGATTATCCCCATGCGTACTCATCGTTAAAATATCCTGACGCTTCAATTTAACTTGGAATCCTCACTGTTTTTACCCATCCCCACTCCCTCATAATGTTTATTCATGGAGGCTCCCGATAATCAACTTGTGCATCGGCAGAAGTTTTCACCACTCAGCCATGAAATATTAAAAAATTAAACATCAAACTCTCGCAGCATTTGACCGACGAGATCATACAACCCTCCACCTCGAAATATCGAACAATTACCACCATCGATTACTATCTCGTGCTTTTCCTCGATCCTTGACGCACTTTCCTAAATTTTAATATAATAATAAAAACGCGACGGAGCAACTGGACTAGCCTTGCGGACTAGTTTGCGGTCTGCGCAAGCGCGCTGGGCCCAGTGAGTCTGGAGCCTATCGGGTCCCGGTTCAATAAACCCATAAATCCTCTTTAAAAACCATAAAATTCATAATTTCCCAATAACCGATAATCATCAATGCAGGAGACTTACAAAATATTGACGTAGAGCGTGTGGAAAAAACGTGGAAATCAGCTGTCGCCACATGAAAACGACAGATCAAAATGGCAAAAAAAAAAACGGGGGATTCCCACATTTTTCTGAGGCTTCGTAAGCCCCATCTGTGTATAGCACAGACCAGGGCCGAAGAATACCTTGAAATCTAATCAGGATATTGAGATCTCCGAGATATCCGAGATATTCTTCGATACCTCATCGCCATCTTCAACGATTTTCGTTAAATGTATTAATCCCAGCTTTACCCACACGATATTCTGATTTAATCTGAATATCTCTTGTTCTCGACGCCCCAGGAGTCGATACTAGTGATTAAAATGATCTCCGACTCGTGGAGCGTTGCGACAACCTCAAATTGACTCCAGCCTGTTGACATCGAATTGGGAAATTCATCGTGAGGGGATATTTATTGGACTGGGCCCCGATTTAGTTTTTTTCTGGGTCGCTATTGGCGTTTGTACGTCATACATTTGGCCCAGACAAATTCACTGAGCCTGTGCACTTGGATCGCACTGCAACAGTCGCACTATTGACGGATCGCTCTTAGCACCCTCGATAAACTCCTCCAGCGACAATTTACCGTCTTTATTTTTGTCCATTTGACGAAATATTTTGTCTGTTCTCTTCTCCGGTGTCGACTCGTCCTCCGGCATCTTCATAACTGTACCCACCATTTTGTAAATAGCCTGCAAATAATAAATTGGTTAATTGAAATGACTTGAATGGTAGGGGGTGGCAAATTGTTTGTGACAATCTGAGAATTTGTTTGGCGGAGGGAGAATTTCACCGAAAGTTTGAGGTGTAATTTATTCATACAAAATTGATGGAGTTTTTCGTGGTTCCGGGGAATCGAGTTATTTATGGTGAAACTAGTGGTTGGGGAAAATTCTTTGGCAAATTGGCAATTATGTGGGTATGAATAGTATTACGTTTGTTCAATGAATAAAACATCGGGCAAAAATCTATCGATAGTTTGATGTGATTCCCATCGACTCGGGATTGCTATCGTCAACACAAATTATTACTATTGCTATATTTATAAATAAATTATTGAAATAATTTACAATTCTCAGTCCTGATGAACAATTATAATGACATTTTGTTGATCAGACAATTATCCGGTGATTACGTTTGCTTTAGAAATAAATTCACAACATAAATTACATAATTAGGGAACAAATCACCATCAGCTGATTGACTTTGATTCAATTGTTCATTGAACTGAATAAAATGGTTTTCACCGGCTCGAAAAACCATTACGTTCATGAATGCATCGAAACTAGTTGATTTTCCAGGTTGAATGGAAATTAACGACAAATTAATATCCCCGGTTTCGTCATTGAAACGCCCCCAAATTCCGATCGAACTACAATATGAGTTGATGAATTCAATTGATTAAAACAATGTTCCCACATACCGTGACAATCTCCAACATTTCCTGGCGTGAAATGTATCCATTTCCATCGAGATCGTACATACTAAAGGCCCACTTCAATTTCTGTTCCAATTTACCCCGGGATGTGACACTCAGTGCACACAGGAACTCCCGGAAGTCAATCGTCCCATCGCCATTTGCATCGAACGTCCTGAAGACGTGTTCTGCGAACTAATGGCATGGAAAAAATATTCATTTTATATCCCGTGAACATGTGGTGAAATTAACCATGTGGAAATTGGAAAATTACTTGACTGATTCAACTTACCTTGGATGCATCACCGTAGGGGAAGAAATTTCCGTAGATCTTCTTGAATTCCTCGACACTCAAATGACCACTCGGGCAATCCTTCAGAAATCCCTTGTACCACTCCTGAATTTCTGCGTCTGTAATAAATTATTCGAATGAAAAATCTTGAGTGCAAACAATGGATTTATTTTAAGAATCCATTTGATTTGAGATTAGAGGAGAATGGTTCATCAACCCTCAATATCTCGAGATCTGTAGAGTAAAAACTATCGATTGTTGTGTCATTTGGAGGATTTTTTTGGGAGCTTGAGAATGACCCTAAACTCATTAAAATCGGATTATTGCTTGGAGATAAATCAAAGATTGAAGAACCTTGATTCTGCCTCGTTTCCCAAACTCATTCCATCCAAACATAAATACCAGAAAATTCAGTATTCTGTTTCAGATCCTCAAGCACTTCAGGCTTGAGTTTACTGTTCTGTTTGCCCATCTCGACTCACGGCCTCTCAATCCAGTCCAGTGAATCCTTCCACCCACGTCTTCTCTTTATGCCCACAATATCTCAATTTTCTAAAAACCTATCTAAACGTATGTTTAATTTAAGAATATAGTGCTGGACTACGTTGTGTGACCGGTCACCATGCACCAGGCACCTCCCTGAGAACAAGAAAATTATTTTCAAAAAGTTTCCACGAGCAATTACCAGAGAAGTCCCGTGAATACAGAATATCCACCAACAGACTCCCCAAAATCATAAAATATCCAGTGATCCCGTTCCTCTGTCACTCAGATTAAACGAAAACCCTCCCCCTAACTCATTACCCCCAGAACAATCACAGCATTTGAATATTCACAGACTTATCTCACATCCACACAACTCCACATTCACTCAAATCTGAAACAAAAAGATAAACCAACATTATTCGATGATTAAAGGATAATAATCATTTACTTGGAGCATAGTGCGATTTATTTATAATAATTATGATAACGATAATGTAGGTTGGCTCATTGCTGACGTAACTCGTCTTATAATCGTCGACCCACATACAAAATACGAGATTTATTTGTTATTCCCAATCTTCCCTCGCTCTTATTTTTGATTACTCAAAGTCTGCGATAAATAATTGTTATTGTGTACAATATTCATCAATTACGGTAACTCATTAATGCATTTAGCCTCTCATACACGAGTGCAGGGTCATTGAACACACCAGCAGTCATGTGTACACTTCAAATAAACCACTGAATATTCGATAATCTCCAAATAAAATACTGTTAATGATTGCGGTGAAGCTGTTAAACATATTCGTACCTTAGCTCGATGAAAAAAATTATTTCAGACACTCATATCATTACATAATAGCGCCATATTGTTGTTGCTTGACAATTCTGTAGACAATAATCAACAATTCTACTGAAAAATCGGTAGCGAAATGGTAAATCAAGACAAGCCAATTCCAAATTCTCCAATTTTTCAAAATACAGATTAATCTGAAAACCATTGATCTCACGAAGAAATACGAAAACATCTTTTCTGTGGAGAATTCCATGAGCTACAAATAACAATTAACTAACGACAGTTAACACGATAAATCTAAAAATAATACCGTCAAAAAAAGTGATTTGGATTGATCTCGCTTTACCATTTCCTCAAAATTTACTGAATCATAAAGAAATTTAGCAAAGGGAGAAAAAATAATTTATATAGGCTGTAAAATGGTGGGAATTCTCAATGAAAAACTTGAGTTCCACAACAGCAGATACCAAATAGAATAATAAGTCCGGCAGCTATTGATTATTGAATGAGTCTCAACTGAGACTCGATTGAAATACATCCCCATAACGAATGAATTGATCTCTATAATCAGTGTGAATCCGTTCATTACAGTCGTTGACAAAAGGTAAGAGAGAAAGAGTACATAATAGATGAAAACAAAAAGTCCTTGTATTAAATGTAACGCCCATACTGGCAACATACGTCATCCAGTCAGATCAATGGCATTTATCCACGAACAATGTCCTCGAACATAATCAATATAACTCTCCCATCAATTTTTCCTCAATTTTAATTCACCGATATTAAAATGGACGATCAATCGTCAATTCTACACCACTTATACAAACATATTCTAGAATTCTAAACTAGACAATTGTTTTTAAGACATACGTGCACCAAAATTTTCATTACATCTCTCTCTTGAGAATTTCCATAAGAACACTGGCGCATCGCACGACTACAGATGATTATTGCATTCGTTATTCGTCTTCTCGGGACAGATATCACAAGAATGGAGGAGAACTATTGTTAACGCGTCCTCGAGGCTTTCCTCTCATTTTTTTATTTCTTTATTTCTTTATCTCTTTATCTCTTCCTCTCTTCCTCTCTTCCTCTCTTCCTCTCTTCCTCTCTCACTTCATTAATATTCCATTACACTTTTATCTGGAATCGTGGATTGTGATCCACTGGGAGACTGAATAATCAGAGCTATTCTTAAGAATTTTTTATTTCTTTATTTTTTTTTCTCGCAGTGTTCGATGGTGAATATTCAAAACCTTGATATTAATTACAGTTAATGAATTTCACTTTTTGACAATTGTCTCTGGTTAAATGAAAAATAAAACTTATCCGATTATGCATCGATCGATTAGTAGTATCTAACATTAATGGAATTATTCGGAATCGTAAACTATACCGTAAACTATTCCCTATAAATATATACGTTATATATAATATATATAATATATAAAATGACTTTAATCAACGGTGCAACGGTGAATAAATGCCTCGATTGGTTACAGTTATCGTTAAAATTCGACTAACGATTGAACTTACTTGCAACGGGATTAAAACAACTTCAATGATTCTTTATTTTTTCTTTTATCATCACAATGAGAGCTCTGGAAAATAGATTATTCAGCTGAAAGGTAGAAAAAGTGGCTTTTACGACTGACATCCAAGCGTTAAAAATACCATTCTCCAATTGTATGAAGAGAAATAAAATAATGTTACCAACGTTTACGTTACGATGATGATGAGAGTGGACTAGCTCTTGGTTTGTCATAATTGGACGAAGGAACGAGTTATTTTCCAGCATTCAGACTCACACAATCTGCTACAATATCCCAGGAGTTACGATTCAGTTAGAGATCATTCAGAGAGAAAATAAAAAATTCAAGAGCAAACGATGTGAAAGGGTGTGGAAAAAAGGGGAAATAGAAATGATAAAGAGAAATGGAAAAATTAGAGTTGGAGTGTTATCATGAGGGATCTCTATTTTCTTTTTCTTTGAATCCTAAGAGAGGCACAAATTCTGTGGGTTTTGGGGGTGTCTCTTTGTCTTTGAGATGGCTTCGAGAGAATTGAGGAAAAATAACAGGATTCTGCTTTGGCGCACACGGATTCTATTGATTTTGAATTTATCAATGTCCTGTCGTAACTCCGGTCGAAAATCCAGGGTAACGTTTTCAGATCGATACAGCAATATTCTCCGGAGCTTCCATACCCCCTGTTACCTACTTATTCCTTCATCCTAGTCTCACTAACTCCATTTTTTTTCCTCTCCACACACTCCCTTATAATTTGTTCTGGAATTCTGGAGGGACTCGCCCTTTTTTTTTCCGTTTGAAGGATCTGGAATTCCATTTTGACGTTAATTTCCGTCACGTATCTATGAAAATTTACTATTTCGATTGTCAATGCTTGACTTTCCATTCGGTGAGGAATATTTTTTGTTCGTTATCTCGAGTTTTATCAGATGAATTTCGTGCCTTCGGTTATTTTAGTCTTTTCAATTTGTTTTGTCCAATTTGTTGATTCATGTGGAATTCAATTTTTGTACGTTAAGCGTTGTTTCGAATTTTCCTCAGTTACTTTAAAATTGACTTTACTTGATATTAAGTACTCGAAGCGTGTACGCTAATGGGGTTAATATGATTTTTTGTTAGTCTAGGTATTTATGAGTTAAGTGACAATGACGTTGGACATATTGTCCTGCGTTTTGTCCGTGAGGATGAGCCAATGATATGTCTACGACTACAATAATGTGCCCCACCTAGTTTAAGAGTGTTTTTTTTTCTTCTTTCGTTCTGGCGAATTGTCTCTGCACGGAGAATAGCGTGACGAAAATAGGTATTAATGAGCCGAGAAACAAAGAAGTGAGGATCGAAGTGGTGTGACTTAGTGACATTGATTGGGAGAAAAACATTACCTTCGGTAATTGAGTTTATAAAGAATCGTTTGGGGAATGGAAAAGGAACGCGAGTCTAATGTGTGCCAATTTCGTATGATCGAGTTAATAGAGAATCCTAGATTAGAACATGCAATTGGTCAAAATTCTATCATCTACGAAGGCGAGTTGAAAGTTCTTTTCAGAGAAAGAGAAATTGCCCAGCCGATCGGTCGACATCATTGGCGACAATCTCGAGAACGCTCGGTGCTATGGCAAAATGTCAAAGGAACTTTTTCTCGAAAATTCAATTACCCACAAAAAATCCCTCTGACATTTTCCGGTGGTACCTCACGTCGCCAAGATAATCAACAATTACGACTGGACAATATCTTTTTCGTGGATTCGAACTGGCAGGTGAGATCGAATGGACCTTAGACAATCAATATTTCCAGTTCAGACGATGTGATTCAGACGATTCAGGGTGCATTTTGAAGCTCGAAAACCCGCCTTCAAAATCACGCAAAAATCATTGATTTTCACTCAGCTGATCGCGAGTTATTGATGACTAAAATTTCCTCCATTTTACCTCCCTCATCCTTATAATTGAAACAGCGTTCCCTCTTAATTTATCAGTTACTTATCGATGATTAATTGAACCGACTTACCCGTGCCCGCTCTTAATTAAACACCTAGATGATTAAAACACCCAAAAATTCAGCGTGTCTAAAAATCCAATTGATAACCAAATTGTTGAGTAGAATTGATTCGTTTCCGGTGTGTCGCCTCGGAATAATAGTGTGGGCACAGATCATTTGCGCTGATCCCGATCAATCGATTAACCCACCCTGGACCGATGGCATGATAGAAAGGGGGAGAAGGGTGTATAGTGCTATCAGATGAGGATTAAACGCACCGGATATCCCGTTCCACTAAAACATAGTCACACCATTATCGAGTTATATATGTACTCAACTCGTAATCAGTACCCACTTTACATCCTTCTACTCGCAATTACTACTATGGAATAACAATTTTTATATATTTTTTAATCTTATCAAACACTCGTTAAACCCGGCATTTCCATTAACAACGGATCGACAAGGAGAAAGCAGCGGAATATGAGATTCATCCCCGTTAATTACTGAATTATAGCAGTAATGAGGGAAAAATAAATACGAGGCATGTCACCAGTTCCAGTTAACTTTTCCCCGATGATAAATTCGTACCCCGCCACTCACCCCTGTCGATCGCCAAATGAAAAATATCAATCAAATCCACTGAACTCTCCGATTAACCCCCAGTCTGAATAATCAACTGAACAATCCAAGGATTAAAAAAAAAATAACCCTAGAACACGATCGATAAAACGAGCAGAAGCCCTGGAATCGAGACTCGATTGCTGGACTTTGATAATAATATCGGAGGCTCGATCTCCAGCAACAGTGACACGAGTACAATAATATGAATTAGCAGCGAATAGCCTTTACTCCTTAATAAGTATTAATTTCTCTTCATTAGTGGGAATTTATAATCATGTGAGTATTTGAAAGGTCAATTGTCCCTTTTTTTTATTCGATCGTCGATGTCTTTTCGAGACATTCAGACGGTGAAAACAGTAATGTCTGACTGATTTCTGCTGACGTAATAATTGAAGGGAGAATTTGGGGGGATTGAAATGCCCCAACCTCCAACGGCTGAGCTCTCCTCTTGGTCGAGCGACTATTAATTCAGACCTGGATCAAATCGATCGATGGCTTAATTGCCGAAATGCTCACCATTCTCACATTCAAACTGTTCATTCAAATAAAACTCTGGTCATTGGTAATTGATATCTCTGGTGACGATCAATGAACAACGATGGGCTCTGAATAATTTATCTTTCTGTGGTTGTTGGGGTTGTCCATTGGGCTGAATTATGGGGCAAGCATTTTTGATAGCTCCTCGTCCTGCAGGCAACCCTTCAGGAACTCGTCCTGCGTCAGTTGTCCGTCGTTGTTCTCGTCCATCTTGGCGAATATATTTTTCGCTCGCTCTTCAGCACTGTCTGCTGGCCTATTACTCGAACAAGCACCCAACATGTCGTATATTGCCTGCCAACAAAAGTACATTTTGCATATTCAAGTATTCACCACATCTGACACTCGTATCAATATTTTTTTTATATTTATTATTTTTCATTATTTTTATAAGTACAGTTTTTTTCAAGGCCAGTTTTCACCCGATTTATCGAAATTCAGGAAAGATAATTATATTTTCATAATCACTTTTTTTCTAGCTCTAATTGTTTCTTATAAAAAATATTTGTTTGAAACGGTATTAACATTTTGGCATTAACATTTTCGAAAATTTCAGAGTACCAAAATTTATGAATTGTATAGGACAGCAGTTAAAAGAGTTTTGGCACATTTTTATATTGTGCAAGGCCATCAATCTGGTGACGCTAATCTCTCTAGATCTTTATCGAGGCAATTAGCTAGTTTTTCGTTAAATTCAGTTAACCAACTTGTTAATCACCTCTTTGATAAATTATTGAGTAGATCAGCACACCTGTAAATATTGAAATTAAACCAGAGCAATAACTCTAAATTAAACAAACGTTTGACGATAAATTCTACCCCTCAGATTTTCCGATGCCACCCAAATTCCTCAGTTCCTCAACAAATAATATTATCTCAAAAAAAACGCTAGGTTTCTTTGATTCCGAAATATTGGCTAAAAATTGGTCTCGAAAAAAAATCACTTGTCCTTGTTTATCACTTCGCTATTGAATTGATTTTAATGTTCTTCTTTTTCATCAACTTTAATTCAATTATATAAGGAATTGAACAGAAGCTTAGATTCAAGGATTTTTTTCGTAGGACTTTGAATTTTTCAGTGAAGAACTCCGACTTGAGATCAGTATTTCTATTCTAAAAAGGACAAACATCGAGACTATCGATATCTCGAAAGCCTCTCACGCTTATTCCTAATTTGACTTTGGAACTCATTTAATCTCTTTATATTATCCTATTCTAAAAAGGACAGACATCGAGACTATCGATATCTCGAAAGCCTCTCACGCTTATTCCTCATTGGTTCAGTCGTCTGAGGCGGCTAATTTGAATTTGAAACTCATTTAATCTTTCTTATTCTAAAAAGGACAAACATCCTATTCTAAAAAGGACAGACATCGAGACTATCGATATCTCGAAAGTCTGTCACGCTTATTCCTCATTGGTTCAGTCGTCTGAAGCGGCTAATTTGAATTTGAAACTCATTTAATCTTATTCTAAAAAGGACAAACATCGAGACTATCGACACCTCCAAAGTCTCTCACGCTTATTCCCCATTTGTTCAGTCCTTTGAGGCGGCTAATTTAAATTTGGCACTTATTTAGATTAACAATTTTTAATCTTTTTTAATCTCTCATTTTTATAATTACAGCGTGCAGTAGCGCGCGTTCGTTCTCATTAATGAAAAAGTCCGATTTCACGACTGATTTGTTGTACGACTGATTGGTAGTGAGAATTGGGTACTTGGAGCTCCTCAATTATCTTTTCATCCAGAAATTCAGGTAAAAATGTAGGTCGATAGGAGTAAAAAAAATCCACAGGCTGGGAATACTTCAAACAAATAAGTCCCATAATGCAATTTATCTCGGGGAATCTTGAGAATGCTGGAGTTTAAACCAGCCGAGTGTAAAATCTGGCTCAAGGGGCTTGAGAAACTCGGAGAAATACTGAATGCATATTCTGGAATCGAATTTCTCTCGCGTGATTTGAGGATGTAATGCGCGTCATTTTTATGAGGATTCGTGGTTTTTTGGAATCTCGTGGTACCTCGCTAAGAAGATTTATAGAGAAATAAACTCCAGTTCCCTTACTATTCGTTATTCAACAATTCGACTCAATTCAAAATTACTGAAACGATACAAAAACCGGTTATTATTCAAATTTCTCATAAAAACAATTCTATTCATTTTACTTTTGATAAAATTTGTCGCGAATTGTCACTTGCCACTGGCCATTGTCCGAAGGCTTGCAGATAATTATTAATATTCTATATATATAGCAATAATTAATATGCACGATAGATAGAACAAAGTTGACGTGTTCCTTGTGCAGAATGAAGATAATAAATACGATCGGTGTAAAAAAAAATATAGAAGTGGTGCTGAGGAATTAAAAGAAATGAATCCCGGGAAAATGATTAATAAATGGGGATGGGGAAATTGTAACTGCAACAGTCTAAAGTGACTCTCCACCTGGTGATTTGAATGCATTGGAAGCATTGAGATTGGAATATTGAACCGCAGAATTTTAGCACCGGGAAATGGACTGAAACCATCAGGTCATATTGACAATACCCATTGAATCCAGTATCAACCTCCAGATTAATGGGGTCAATCCCTAGATATGTGTTCACAAGTACTTCCCCAGGGGATTTTTCTGTCTCCAACGATACCATTACCTGAACTATCTTGGTCATTTCCTGAATGTCAATAACACCATTGCCATCTACGTCGTACATACGGAATGCCCATTTAAGTTTCTCCTCAGGCGTACCACTAGACGTCACGTCTATTGCAAGGAGAAATTCCTGAAACAATAAAATGTATACATTTTTTTAAAATTACTATAGAGCAATATCAGACGCGCACGCGCTGAATTGAGAACCATTTTTATTATCTGTGATCATTCATTCGTTATCTTTCAACCACAAAGATTAATCTGTTGAAGTAAAAAAATAACAATTGGCGGGATATTGAATAATTACTGATCATTCTTTTTTTTAATTTCGACTGTCTAATTTGTATTTTTTCCCGCGTCTTTGATAATTTTCATATTTTTTTCAAAATCCAAGTTTTTTTATTGACGTTTGTTGCGCGGATATACTGGTGAAATAAATTGGTGTTCGGACAGTCATTTACATGAAAAATATTCATCAGACCTCAATGACAGTTGAATCATTTGAACGCTCATTTTTCAAGCCTTAAGGTGGGATAGAATATTTAATTAGTTTCATTTTGAATTACAAAAATCATAGTATATATCCGTAGATAGACTGAGAATGGATGCGACGCATTGTAATCATGTTCAATCGCTCATAGTTCAATACAGACTGGAAATGGGCGAATAAAAATAGGACCATTGGAAAGCTCGAGAAGTGAGCTTTAAAGTGATATATAGAGTCATGGTTATTTCTCCATTAAGGTTGTTGTCGCGTAGAATTTTTTTTCGACAGTTTTCGTTAACAATTTTATGGTGAATAGTTTGAAAAATTAGCAACAAAATAAGCCTTTTCCGTTTGCAATTGACCGTTTTGAACTTGAGATATAAATTTTTGAAATTCGAGTGATTTAACACGTGTCTAAATGGAGTTTTGCCGATTAGAATTTTTTAAAAATCAACGGCTCGACAGTTTCAGAAATAAAAAAAAACGTGGAATATACATCGTGGGAGGAAATACAGAAAAAAAAATCAAATCGATTGACCGTTTGGTTTACGGAATATAATTATCGGAAATTCATAAATTTATATAATTGAAAATAGTTAATATGGAAAATATATAGTTATGCTTTAGCTATCCATGCACAATGCAATCAATCAAGTGAGACTATATACCGCTAAAAGATTGTGTTCTAAACTGGCCCGTTTTACAGCGGATAAACTTTTTACAGAGACTGTCGCGCGACAACCACCTTAATTCGATAAGAACAAGTATTGTATGACAACATTACAAGGTAGACGTTTCACATGATCACATGCTTAAACGTTAATAATTAAAAACCGAATCGATGTCAATAATTGAAAATAATATCATGTTAAAATCTAGAAAATGAGCTTTCAAAGCTAAATTTTTGGATTACACGGCTGCTGGAAATTTGGCTAAATCTAAAACTTCCAAAGTAGGTATGACATACCGACTGCATATTTAAGCAGTCGGAACTTCGATTTGCGCAGTCAATCGGAAGGTCTCGGGTTCAAATCCCGGTCTGGACTATCCATTTTTTCAGTAATTTTTCATGTAAAAATTATATGGAGAATTATCCTGTTCCCCTTCCTATCTAATCCAAATCCTATCCAACGACTTGCCTGACGTCACAAAAAAATGTGGAACGCTATAAAAACTTCCCCCTCTTATGTGTAAAAATGATAAATGATAAATGGATGACTTCGTTAGCCTTGAAAAGATATGGCATGCATGTGATTTATAGGTCAGAGAGGGACGCATCGAGGACTGAAAGTATCAAGTGATTAGGATGGACAACGATTTTTTTAATGAAAAAAATTCTCTGATTACTAGAGTTTAATTGTTTAATGGTTTAATTGATGAAAATGTCAAAAGATTGACATTGATAATGACGGAAGACAGTGAAAATTCGAGTAATCTTTTTCCTCAAGTCTTCAATTGAATATTGATTATTCAATTAAATCTAATAGCGAAAGAGATGAATAGGAAGTTGTTCAGAAGATTGATCTCATAAAAAGTTGAAACAGTCAAAAGTGGGTTATTAAAAAATTGAATAAATAAAATTTGTTTAAAATATCAGAAAATAAATGCCGGTCGATTTAATTCTATTGTCACTTAATTGAATTGTTTTTTTCTAAGAGCGTACTTCCAGAATTCGAAAAAAATTAAACTACTAGATTAAATAAATTCTGGTAAAAATAAAAATGGGCAATTAGTGGATCATAATAGGACAAAAAAGGGAAAAGAAAATCTGGAAAACATTAACGGTTCGTTTAATTTAATTTCTTTCCGAGAATGTATTTAGAGATAAATAAACGAGGGGGAGGAGACGACGAGAAAGTTTTTACGAGTGAGCTGAGCTCTTCTCGGATGTTTGTTGCTGAGTTGACACAATGCGATGAATGTGGAGAATAGGGAATATCAGAGTAAAGTATTCTCTGGAGACTTGAGGCCAGTGGTAACGGCACTTTTTCGTCAGACCCAGAGAAATTACCCTCCTTTCAATGGAGATAATGCATGTAACGTTCATTCTTCGGGGATCTCTCTCAGTTTAAAGTCCTGAGTGCATTTTAATGAAAGCTGCACAATGGAGATTCGTTACTTAATAATTTGTAGTTAACCATATGCCTCTTGGATTTATTTACAAATCACCAGAACAATTTATCATACCATCAATAATTTATTATTACCATTATATAATAATTTTTCCTCAACTGAGACATGAAAGTTTTTCATTTTCATTTCATTAATTGAAAGAGGAATTTTATACATTCTTTTAAATTTTTTATTGGTAACGAATTGTAACAGTTGATGTTGCGAGAGTAATTTTGTAACAATGAGATAATTTTTCTCTGATTGTTCGATGATTTGAATTCTTCGTCAATCGATTGCACCTCATCATGCAACCGATTGAATAAATTCATCACGCTTCAGCAGTAATTTACACCTGAGGTTCGATCACTCGCGGTAGCAATTTTTTATTTCACTTCCCAATGACCTAGCAGAGCCCTTTGCACAGAGAAAAAAAGGGCCTGCATCACTTGGAGATTATTAAAATGACTGGACTCAACTGAAAGGGGAAAAAATTGCCGCAATAGAGTTAGTCTCTCATGTTCCCAGGGAGAAAATAAAGGAAACAAGAACAAAGGAGTTGGTCTCCATTGTAATATACCCTTGGACAATGAGTCTGACGCAAAAGAGGGGGGAAAATTGTCTGTGTAATGAGGCGGTATTAATATCGAATTTACCACTGCACGGAGAAAATTATTCGACGAATAACAGCTATAGCTGTTGAAACCGGATAATTGACTCGGTGCCTCCCGGAGTTTTCGGGAAATATCTCTTAAACTATGGGAGACAGCGAGATTTTTCTCAAGATCTCCTTTGTAGAGTGAATTCAGAGCTAAAAAATAGGTCTCAACAACTGTTTCGTTATCTCCCTTAGATTCAGAGATATTTCCGGAAGAGCTGATACCTAAATCTATTTGTTCAGAGTAAGAAGTTGATAGTTCGTTTTAATATCGATAAATTCTGAAGAACTATTGATTTCACCAGAAAATGTGAAAAGATCTTTTTTAACAGAAATTTAATCAGCTAGAAAATAATTCCTTAACGATTTCACCTTGAACTGATAGTTTTCGAGATAAATCCTTTGGGATAAAAAGATGAGATAATGAAATGAAGCTGTTGTCACTGTGTGAACTTCAATTGCAATGAAAATCGTTACCAAAGTTTTATCAATTGGTCGCGACTCCGTTCTTTATCAGATTCCGGTGTTTTTATCTGAAAGACTTTCTATTAGAAAAACTCCCGTCGATTGTTGTGACCTATAAATTCTCAGAAAAAGTTTGAAGTCGACGGAAGTTAGCCACACGGAGTATCTGGAATTACTATCATCTCATTCGTTTGCCAAGTTTTATAGTTTGCATCGTCTTTAATTCGTCTTGGCAAATTTCATTCCATGTGTTGTAATTTTTTCTCCATTTAATCCCCGAAGATTAATTGATATCACATTTAATCTCTTCCCAATTTTACCTGGAAACTCGTAATTTTTATGAATATTCAATTAACATAATATAACAATAGTAATAATAATAATAATAACAATATACACTTATATCATTAATTAATCACCTTACAAACAGAATTTATGATTAAAAAAATACAATTTTATAGACAATAGAGTTTTTAAAAAATTGCCCGAATACGCCCTATGTCCCCCACTATTTTGAAAAAAAAAGCCGACAGGTGAGTCTCCCTCCGGATGATAAAAAAAAAATCCCGAGGCGATTTTAGATCGGCAAAAACGTCGCAAGAAGTTCCCCTTGACCCGCCCACCACCCACATCCCCATATTTACATCAACCCCCGGTAAATAATGTACACCCGACAAAAATGATACCACATAGAATCCCCTTTCACCCCTTTTTTTTCACCTCACCCATTTAGCCTGTAAGGGTGGTCCACACAGGCGTGATATCAGCCGCGAGGCGGTGCTTTATAAAAAGCCCATTCTCCGGAGTGAAACCGGGTGAAATAAAATGAAAGAAAAAAGAGAGAGAGAGTGAGAAAAAAAAAGGGAAGAACGAGGAACAACGGAAGACGTTGAGAGAAAATAAAAAGCATAAAGGCATAATAACGTGATGTTACATCTGAATATGACCTCCTGGGTGGAAAAGTCTTGAGAGAAAAGGAAATGTCGGTGGGGTCAATATGGTTGGTGCCGAGGGGGTGAAATAAAAAAGTAGAATGGAAAGAGTCTCGAGGGAGTGCCAAGGAAGGGTCCAGTCCACTCGGCTGCATCTCCACGACCTCTGGGTTACAACTCGCACATGAAGCTCCAACCCCTGCCTCCTGGGGGGCATCAGGTGACCCAGTTCATTCGGGGCAAACTTTTAACGATGCTCAAAACTCCACTCTCTCAATTCCTTTCAGGGGCCCCAATCCACTCCCTCTCTCTTCTCACAACCCATCATTCCCTACCACCCACTGCTTATCAGTACAGCAACAATTGAATCGGCCCTTTTACCTCCCGGTTCCCACTGAACGCGCGTCCGGCACGCCTCGCAAACCAACAAGGCCAACTATATATCCAATACATACTCTCAATACACATCGATAAGAAATTTATATATTGTTGAATTTTTGGTTGAAATAATACCAGCCAAAAATTAATGTAGAGAATAAAAACTACTCTCTAATAGTGAGACTACTCTCTAATATATTTATCCTCCTCGTGAGAATACTGCTGAGATTAAACAATTAAAATACAGTAAACGTTAATTAAAAGAAACTCTAATAACAAGGCTTAGTAAAATATGTCAGAAGATATCTAATGAAGCGATGTGATCTCATTCAGGTGGAGAGTCGAACTGCCCGATGGGTTTTCCGTTTTTGGAACCTTAGGCCCAAGTCCTCTTTGTTTATGACTCAGGCTTAGTCCAGGCAAATTAGGCCTAACATATGTGTTTCATAAAGCCAAGACGCTTTTTATGTAGAAATGTGTGTTTTGATCGTGTGATTAACGGGCAAGTAATTTTAAGTGATCAAAGTTTGTGCAATCCGAGAAAAAAAATTAAAAACTACCCTCAAAAATGGTTTTTCGCGATTAACTGCATAACCAATGTCCAAAATGGGTTATGTTTATGTTTTCTCTTCTAGCCTAAAGAAACTCGAATGAATGAGATCTCATATGACTACGTCACTTGAGCTCCAGAGCGTTGGATCCCTTTGATAATTTAGTTAGTTGTGCTATGGCATCGATGAGGATAGGACGTGTCTTCTGAGCGACTAAATTCAATTTTTTTCTTTCAAGTTAATTTTATAGTTACGTTATTAAATTATCCCATAACTACAATATATACCCAGTGGAATTTATTTATTTATTTATTTAACCGCTCTTCGGATTAAATTATTGTGCGAAATATATATTAGGTAATAGTAATAATAATAGTAATCATAATGATGTATGATATATTTTAATAGGATAATATATAGGGGAAGGGAGGGTAAAATGGAGTTTCCCTTTTTTTTATAGTCTCGACGAATCAATTGGGGAGGATCGGAAAAAAAAACTCATGAGAGGGCGGGAAGTCCAATTTACGCACCTACCACCCAAAATTTCCGTTTTGTCGACGCGTTGCACTAATTTAGGTGAATGTTTTTGAGGATAAGGGCTAATCATTTGAGTAATAAGAATTATTCAATGAGTTTCTGGTTAGGCGATTCGTTTTACCCTCCGCTCCTTTAAAATAAATAAAATTTAAATTTTTTACTGGGTAGAAGTGTTATACTGGCAAAATATAATTGCCCTCAATTATTTTCGAAGCAATATCCCTGAGTGTAGTGGATTACTGTGATTTGCTTGAGCGAACTGGGGATTACTTTAGTATACGTTAGGATATCGATATATTTTGTGTGCCATACTAGGCACTGCCTGAAGATGTCTATCGATTGAATTCGTCATTCGGACTGTAATGTTGTAGACTATCTATCTTCGCGTCTATTTTGTGATTTGAAATATTCAAAAGTAATTGGTATATTGAGCGAGTAAAAGTTGGGGGGTAATTGATAATAATGTATCAAATATGCGACTTTATTGTGCTTTCTTTCTCATTCTTCTAAGGTTTCGAAATTACGTGTGTTTTGTTGGATTTTTAGCTGCAATATTTTGAGGAAAAATATTTTTCAGCTCCAATATTTTTGGTTGCGATTTTTTGAGGTAATATTTTGAGCTGTGTTATTTTAATAGGCACTCTTAGATCTTTGTAGCGCATCTGGAATATCAAGCAAATCGGAGTTTTATAACAGGATCCCAGAATATGTGAGGAGTTACCCGATGTTTTCCGCCATTTTATCGATCGCCTTTCTAAGAATTAAAATGGCAAAAAAAGGTAACTCTTCAATTCAATTACATTATGATTATTTTTGCCGGCTAAAATGCGAATTCTCCATGAACGTGTGCAACTGCACACGTCCGGGAACTAGTAGATATAAAAGTTTATAATAATTTGTTTTTTTTTATGTAAATTTTTAACAAAAATTGAACTGATCATTTTTACCATCCAAATTTCAGCCAATAGAATTGCACCATGAGACGAGGCTACTCGATATTATACTGAATATTCTTCGAATATTTTATCTCTTACCTATATGTATGAGACAGAAAACTGTTGGATCGTGTTAACCGCTGATTGAAAATGACAGATTAAATTTAATTGTTCCATTCATGGAGTGAAATAACTTTCCTCATCTTTTCAAATCCCTTTTTTTTAGTTGAAATATCTTTCCTCATTTTTTTAATATAAGCTCGTCTCACGGATCAATTCTATCGACTGAAATTTGAACGAAAAAAATAATCCCCCGAATAAGACAGGAGCTTCGAAATTAATCAGATATTTCCTTCTAGACTGCCTGCAAACAAACGAGCTTGTCAAGTTTTCCAGAAAAATCATCGCACTTCGGACTTGTGATTTCTTAACCTATCGGGAAATATCCGATAATTTCGAAGCTCTCGGTGGTATAAGTGAATATATTGTTATAGATTATCGGATAAATTATTTTGCATGTGCCTCCATATGATGATTATATAGTCGCGAAGCGAGTGACTGAAATTTCAATAAATTTCCGACAATGTGTGAATGGTGTAAGGGCATTGGTGTGGTTTGTTGGTATATGTTGCTCAGAGGTTTCTCCTGGAACAACAATGCGACTGATGCCTTTTAGTACTGTAGCACGTCCAGAACACTCGTCGTCATATAGGGTAACGGTGTCGACTCGGTTGGGATCGTTGATGAGACAAAGGCCCCTCATTGTTGTCGCCTTCTTCCGCGTCACAAGTGTCGAAAGGCGAATGACGCTCATGGGGTGGAAAACGAGGGCTTCCTCCAGTAGCCAACTGGGATTTTTCTTCAATAAAAAAAAAACCAAAAAAAAACCGGGATTTTTCGCTTTATTCCTCATGGTGGCAACAACCTGGTGCTAATTCACGCTAACCTGACCTCTCTCCCCCATTTTTATTCGGAATCCAGTGAAAAATTCACTCTACCATAACTTCAATCTCATCATGAAGAATTTATACAAAATTACTCATTTAAAAAATCGGTCTCCCCTTTGGTCCGATGGGTAAACGGAAATTTTTGTAATCTCAGGGTTCCAGGTTCGATTCTCGGGTCGACCATTTTTTTTTATTCCACATAGAATGCCCATGTGGAAAAATGTACATTCTGGTAATTATATATTTTTGATATGGAATTGGCTCAGTGTATATATAAGAATTATATACATTTTTTATGTATTCGGTTGATTTTCTGGATTTTCTGAATTGTGGAGAACATGAAATTGAGAGAATTATTGCCTCGAGACTGCAGACTTCACACGTTTGTCATCTTCTTTTTACGCAATTCTTCAAATATGAAATGTTAATGAAGAAGGAAGACGAACTGAATTCTGGTGTGAGTTTTACAGTAAACAGCGCGAGTGATTATTCCCGCTGTCAATAAAAACCGAGAGAAAATGTTAAAAGGCACATTGAGGAGTGTTCCCTCGGCATTTCGTACGATTTCATTCGGCAATTTTTTGGCAATACTCCCAAACTGGGAAAAGATTTACGTCCAAGAATTTTTCTCATCGGAGTAAAGCACTCCTCGGCTTTTACCTCTGAGAATAGAGAATTCAGAGCGGATTTTTCCGGGAGAAAACTCACCTTAAAGTCGATGTATCCGTTCTTGTCCATGTCAAATGTCCGGAAGACGTGATCGCAGAATTCTTCAGCATTTCCGGACGGGAAAAACATTTTGTACATGTCAACAAATTTGGCGGGTGTCAACCTGCCGTTGGGACAGTCTTGCTGCAAAATAAACGTGTTAAAATAATTAGCAAATTACATTTATTTCTAGTTAAAATCATTCTTAAACAAACATAACATTTCATGTGAACCAAGATAGTTCTTCGATTATTGCATTGCACAATGTAAATTGTAGTGAGTAAGGGCGGCTAGGTGTCATGGCAAGTGTCATATAATCTAAGAATTGTGTCGCAATAATTTCAGATGGCGTACAAATTGCTTTACTTTTGAATTTAAGTCTGACAAAAGATCATTCGTCAGTTTATCTCCAGTGGACCTGCATCAACGGATTTCCGCGGTTCAAAAGATATCGCTGATTGGTCAGAGTACATTTTTTTTCGCGTCTTTTATTTCCTCTTTAACTCGTGTGCCGACGTAATGGACGAAGGCTCGCGGTGCACTTTAGCCTGACCTACATTCATTTCGAACATTTCAAAATAGCCCGCGTTGCCTCAGGTGTACGAGACTCGTCTCGAATCCTCAAGAAGAAAAAAAAGAAAAAGATGGTCCGTAGATTCATTCACGAGAGCAATCGATTGTACTCGGGCTCTCGACGAAATACATGATTTATAAAACGATCGGTTTACAGAGAAAATCGACTTTTACGGGTGCCAGACAACATTTATCCAGTCTAGTGGATTATTTATGGGGTAATTAATGAAAGATTAATGTTTCGAGAAGTTTATCAAGAAATTACACGGAAGTTCAGGGAAATTCGAAAATCGGTAATAGAATTCCTCGGATTTCTTTAATTTTTTTATCAATCTTTGGGGAACAATTGTTCTAAAATAATTTGAACAACAATTTTACAGCAATTGTTTTGCAAATTATTACCTCTCCGGATTTTCTCATGTCATTGTAAATTTTCAAGAAAGAAATCGAAAAAATTACTATTCTAACCGGAAAATGAGGAAAACCTCTAGAAAATATCACGCGTTAACAATTACCAAGACTCCCTCCTCCTTTTTTTAATTGAAATTGCACGTTCCCAGGGTGGAATAATTGTTTCTAGCGTTAGGGATGAGAACTGAAAGTTGGCAAGTATCAATCTCGCGTGAGATATGATTAAAATGAGTACTTGTTGTATGGGGACTGAAGTTGGGATTAGTTAGTGCTGATGGGGTAGTACTCGCGTGTTTTGCTGCGATGAAAAAAAGGGCGAGACCTCGATGTGTGGAAAAAACATCGGCCCCAGGGGGAATTATAAATGTATCAAACGGCATCATGCAAAACGCCAACCGTGAACCCATCCCCCAGGTCTCACAACTTCATGTTCTACAGGACAAGTATTTTTGTACCTTTGGTAATTGCTAATTGAACATCTTAGATGTTCTCTACTGGGATATAAATCCGCCAATTGAACTCATTGTGGATTAATCATTAATTATTTTTACTATTTATTTAGTTATTGCCATGTATAGCCTACTCGGCCTTTGACATTTGTTGCGGTAACATGGATTGATTTCCTGGATAACCGTATCGCATTTACCCTAGGAGCTGTACACCATGCAGACTCTCCTGGTGACCAAGGAAAACCATGAAAAACCTTGGCCAACACGGCCCCGTCAAACAAGCCTTATCGGGAAATAGCACTTCTCGATAATTTTTGCTATCTGCACTCCCGTTCAACGGTTACCGAAAGATTAAAATTCCCCGTCCCTCGGTTGGATTCGAACCCGCGCCTCGCGGGTTTCGTCGTTCGACCGAGCGATTTAACCAATTCGGCCATCGTCGTCAATTAATTATTTTTACCATTATTTGAGATATGTCAAGATCCATTTCCTTTCTCCTTTGTATATGAGAAAGAAAGCTACGAAAAAAGCAATTTGATTTTCAAATTTTCGCAATCACTGAATTTTGAAAACTTTTACGCTCCCCCCTAGCCTATAGGTACAATTTATCCAATAATTTGCAGCCTCCAGCAGTTTTCGCAATTATTCTCACATTTTCACGGTTTTCTAATTTTTGACATTTTTTGAATTTTCCAAATCCTTTTCGCCCTCTGGTCAAATTTATGCAATAACTTGCAATCTTCCTTGGTTTCCGCAATCATTTCAAAATCTTCGCAATTTTTTGACTTTTTTTGAATTTTCGAAATTTTGCCGCCATCCGTCCTCCAAAGTTTTTTCAATAAACGGTTCCCAAATTTTCACGATTTTTTTAATTTTAGAGATTTTTGTGAATTTACAAAATTTTATTATGACGTCATGGTGGCGGGTCGGTTTTATCTTACGGATCTTATCCTTACAGTGATTCAAGATATTTCGAAATCGATTTCCATTCTCCTTTTTCTATTAAGCATAAGGGATTATGATTAATTTTCAGAGCTAAAGCGCCAATTCTCCATGACCGTACGGCGTACGCAACTGCGCACATCTGGGACTTAAGGTAGTGCTTCCGTATATCAAAACAACGATAAGATCTTGATGAAAATTGATATACAGATAAACTTTAATGCAAAAATAACTCATAAAATAACTAATATAGTTAAATTTTTGAAAACGTTGTTGGGCCAGAACAATAATTATTATTAGCTTATTTTACTCCCTTGGAAGTATTAATTTTTTTTTTTTCTTTCACTCTATACCCTTTCGGGTTTTTACGATTTGTTCCCTTCCCACCCCCCAACCCCCTGTACCGCATTTGCTGAAAGGGAGGGAAAACCTCATCTGAGGGAAAAACCTGCCCTGGTACAGTCGTCCTTTTTGACAGGACTACCGCTCGGCAGTGAAACTGTGAGATCAGAGCGCTATATATTTTTGACCGCCGGTGCCCGGGATCGAACCCGGATCCTTGGCATGCTAGTCCAGCACTCTAACCGCACGGCCACTACCGTCGGTTAACAATAATTATTAATTTACTTATTTTTTCACGATTAACTTTGGGTCTTATGGCCGTTTTCCATGAAATTTTTTAAGCTATATGTACAGATGTTAAGAAACATTTCGCGGGTCGAAAAATTTTGATTCATGGGCTACAAATGTTGAAATTAATCAAGTGTGAAGTCAATCGATGTGGCAACAACGCTACTCAGGGTAGGTGAACTCTCATTACAGAAACACAACACACACATGGAAACATCACACAGGCGTGCAAGCCGTTGAGCAATGTTGTCAAACCAAACTACCGCGCTAATCGAAGTCATCAGTACTCTAACTTGACTCCTGATGTACCGGGAGCACTATCTTAACAGATATAAATGTCTAAACCGATATTTCGATCGATATTTCTTATGGATTTATTGAATTTTTTTTGTCACTGCCCCAAGAATTTCCACTTCCTCGAAAAAGCGGAAGAGCAAAATTGGGATCTCGTGTTTCCGTCCACGAAATGATCTGGTTTTACTTCTGTTTCGACTCATCTCCATTGACAAGTTGCCAAGACATGAAATCTAGGAGAACCCAAAGGATAAAACAAGGAGAAAAGGAAATAAATCAGCAGCAAAATGCCATTTATTTCTGGGCTTTCATTCTCTCGACTGAGAAAATGTATTCATCTATGGATGTGAGAATAATTTTCACTTCCTCAAAAAAGCAAGAAGAACCGGAAGTCCCCGGAGCATGTGCTCCATCCATCAGCAGATGGATAAAATAAAAACATATATTTTCCATTTCATTTTGTGCAATGTCTATTCTTAGAAGAAAAAAATGAGAATGCGTAAGATGAGGTGAGCGTTGTCGATAAATAAAAGTGGCTCGTGTGTTTGTGTGATGTAAGGCGAGGAAATAAAAGGCCGAACGATAAGCCCTCAGTCTCCCTCCTATTTCCCTCTTAGAGAAGAAAAAGAACGAGAGCACCTGAAGGTGTACACAGAGTGCAAGAGAGAAAAAAAAACGAGAGATGCATATATTGATCGCTTGGGGTAATAACGGACGGAAAAAAATATAGAGAAGAGCAAGGAGAAAAAAAAAACCGGCAGTCATATCGATGTGGATCTGCACTCTTCACAATTTCTTGAACCTTCAGTTACAGTCAAATTATAGAATTTCAATTATATGAGTTTCGAATCAAATCTAAGTAAAGGTATCTAATGTATTCATCCGACACCGACAAAGTCGAATTCATAAATGAGAAATGAGATGGACAATTTTTTATTTTTGTTATGATATCATAAGATTGTATAATTACTCTATACAATTTTTTGTTTTGCACTTTGTATGAAATAGGGAAGGGAACAAAATGTAAAAACCCGAAAAGATATAGATGTGAAAATAAATATATATTCAAAGTAGATAGTAAATTTCGCGTTCATCTGGAAAGTTCAATGAAATTGCATTCTGGGTTAATGACTATTGATTTTTTAATGAATCTTGGGCTTTCGTGCGTAATGTGACAATGCAATACAGATATAGGGGAGGGGAGGGTAAAATGGACCCTCCCATTTTTTTTATATTTTCCAAGTTTTTTACTCATTTTTTATAAAGATATAGGAGCGGAGTAATTGATGTGTTGAGGTGTGTTTTAATTTCATATTTAATTAATTAACATTTGATAAATAGTTAAACAATGATAAACATCTGATTTCTAATTAACGTTAAACACTATTGGCACGAGGCAGAAATTAATTGTATTTTATAGTCTTGACCATTCAATTCGGGACTATTGGAAGAAAAATAGTGAGAGAGTGAAAAGTGCATTTTACCCCTATTTCCCCCAAATTTTTCGTTTTGTCGACACGTTGCACAAATTCGTGTGGATACTCTTGAGGGTAAGGGCTAGTCATTTGAATCATTAAAATTGTCTTACTCTCCTCTCCCCTAAATTCAGAATTAAAAATGCAATTAAGTTGTTGATAAATTGAGAATTCATGAAAATTGTCTGAATTTTTAAAGTTTTCCCCATTTTACCCGAATTTAACTCTAAAAACAAACAAATCCTGACTTATCAAGATCTGATGATCGATCACCGATCACCGATCATCAGATTTAGCTGATATAAAGGTCTTGCCCTCCGAACTGATGACCAAGTAGAAGACACCCACCTGCAGAGGATGCGCCCCAAAGGCGCATCATCATCATGAGATAAATAATGTAAAAGAAAAAATAATCGAGAAATTCCTTATAGCATCCGGGAATGATATATCGCTCGCAGGAATAACACATCCGATATTTTTTCCTGTCATTCAATATCAACCGGTGATCTCATTTGAAAAATGTCTCAGGGTTACTGCAGCATGAATTATGCGGTCGGTGATATCTCCCGGGAGAGGAAACCCCATCTATCCTGTGCCACTCGTAATGTTTTCACCGAGACATTGCGGATGTATCTACGTTGTAAATACGATACACATTTTTCTGATAAAGTGTAATCGATAGATTCGCAGAAGTCAGCGCAAACGCAGCCCTCACCCGATTTATTAATGAGCGGTCGCAGCAAGCGTTTTCCAAAAATCCTTTTTCCCCTTAATCACCGTTATTAAATCTGCCCGACGCGTCATTCATTAATCAATTTATTTATCACCCACGAAATTCAATCAACGAGATCCCGCGGGGAATCAAATTATGTCGCGTTATTCAATCAGTTCAAATGGCTAACGTTTTTAAATTCACGGAGATCTTTCAGAACTCCCGAATGATCATCTCTCAGTATTTGATATTCACGTTATATATTTAGTCTGACCAAAGACACTATTCTAAAACAATTGTATTAAAATAAAATAATTGCATGATAATTTTATTGAAAAAGGTAAACCAGGACAAGTGATTTTTTTCAATGTCATTTTTTAACGAATATCTCGGGATTGAAGGGAGATAGCGATATTTTGGATAAAACATTTTTTACAGAAAAAGGTGAGCACTACAAAAAAGGTAATAATGAAAATATCTGTATTTTCCTTCAATCCCGAGATATTTGGGGAAAGCTCATCTCAATAAAATTTACACTTATCGTAGTTTACTACTTCGCTACTGAATTCATTTCAACTCACTTTGAAACCTTTGTACCACTCCTTGATGGTCGCCTCGTCGTATCTCGTGTGCGACTTCAGGAAGTCCATATCCTCCTTACTGAGTTTGTCTTTGCTACCGAAGCACCCCATTGTACCTTCTGAAACAAGATAATAGCAACATTGTTAACAATCACATATTGAGAAGCAGTACGAGATAATGATTAATCTATATAACTCCAGAACGGCAGAGTGAAATTCCCCGGGGTTTCATTCATCCGAAAACTATTTTTCTCGCGTTCAAAACGAGACATGACGAGTGCAAATCGGATCGCTCAGTCAGGAGATATTGAGGATCTAATCGGGAAATAAATGGTTTACGATGACGACGGAGTTATTTTGACACTTTGGATCGCTTGGACTTGTCATTCTGAAATGTTTACGAGGAATTATTCGGTCGACTGATCATGACTGATCTAGATACCCTGTGCAATATCTCCAATGTTGCTGGAGCACTGGAGATAAGGGTGAAGCATATATTTTGCATGATAACATTTTTACCGTCATATTCTCGGCGTAACGAGGTGCAACGGAGGAAATAACGGCGCGTTGTTACAACTTTGAAGTGGATTTTTTTGTTTGTCCCACCGGGAGAGCTGACAATCTCGACACACATAAATGGGTCGACTAAAAAAAATCAAAGTCTCTAATTTTTTTTTCTACACCTTCTGCTTTTTTTCATCGTAAATACGACGGGTCTTGCTTGAGTTGCGTCAGCACGTGGCCATTTCGCTACGTTGATTTTTTTTCTAGGGATATTTTTCCTCCACTTACTCGTAATTTAACATTCACGGGGAATTAAATTAAATGAGACCCCGAAAGCCTTCAGCGTCATAATTCACATGCATCGTACAGCCCCGGGGCGCTGGTTCATACAATAATTATTGGACTCTGGGAAAAGGGGAATTACGGGAGATGTGGAGAAAAAATTGGGTTCGCCTGTTTTTTTCAGGACGTGGGATTAATTTGGAGTAAATCTCGCTTTCGTGGTGTACAACTACTTTTTGTTAATTATGTGGACTAATTTGCTTGAATTGCTCGCAATTCAATTTTTCAATTATCCAGTCCGAAACGATGAAAAGGTAAAATCAAAACTAGAACTTCAATTGTGAAAGATGTGAGCAAATGTGTGGAAACAAATTGCAAAATTATCTGGATTCGGGTCTAGACACTTCTTGCCTACTAATTGCCCCCTAGACAACCGCGCAATCATGTTCAAATGTGGTGGAACCTCGTTACAATGTGGTAACATTCGTACAGAGAAAAAGTAAAAAAAAAAAGTTGTAGCAAGTCTGGAGAAAGTGACACACGACATGACGCCGTAAACTCATTTTCTATTTGTCACGTGGCAGGAGTCCGAACATGATGTTTCAAATCAGGAAGCGAGGGGTCACTCAAGGGTCAAAATAAAAAGCACACGAACCGATTACAACGATCTATTTCCGAATTAGGATCGATGTAATAGACTCGACTGGAAAATCGAAACGATCTGCTAATTAATTCCCAGTGTGGCAACAGGAAATCAACCCGTGCGCTTACGATTGTCGTTCGTTCGCACGTGCGTCGCATTATTATTTCTAGAGAGCCCATTTGGACAATGAAAATATTATATCGTGATGGATCTGACCGTCAACACCATTACGTGAAACGAATGATTGATCATGGATGAATTTCATTTGCATTATCAAACGAATTGGAAGATATATTCATTTTTCTCCCCCAAAAACTTACAAACCGGTAATTATCCCTGATTACTTTCCAAAATACCTAAAAAACTAGGAAAATTGCTTGTCATAATGTAATTATCACGTGACTACACGGCTGATTAGTATGAAATTCATTACTTAACAAAAATGATTCGCCCCTTTGGTCCGATCGGTAGCGGGATTATTTTTTAAAGCTGAAGGGCTCGGGTTCGATTCCAGCGGGAATCTTTTTTTTTTATACTCTGAAGGTTGCAAGTTCAAATCCCAGGGCTGATAGCTCTACACTTATTTTTTTGGTTTCACTTTGTATCCCTCTGGTCACTCTTTATCATTCACCTCGTTCCCGGACATGCCAATCTTATTATTATTTCCTTTGCTCCAGTTTATTTCAATGAAATCTCTATCTTTCATTCTGTTTATTTAGCGTGGATGCTACGGTACAATATTTGAAGAAAAAATGAAGTTCCGACGAGGAACATAAAAAATAGCCCAACATACGTGTGACGACCTTTTAAGAAATTGATTCGCCGTATCGATAGGTGTGTCAGGGTCGAGAGAAACTCTGGAGGACACAATATACGGGCCTGTGGTGGTCCGGAGTATCTTGCCAACCAGTAAACCATCAATCATGGGTGCGAGCTGCCGTCGCATGCGTTACGAGCCCAACCGCACCAATATCCAATATGCAATATCCCGGGGAAACAAATAAAACAATGTACGATGAAGACTTCATTCAGAGAATCTTACTCGCACCATCCCACAAGTTAAGAGTGTTCTACACCCATATATCATAAAAATTCACGTTTTTTCAATGTTCTGACAAACTTACTATGCACGGAGAGAAAAACACAGGAAAAATTACGTGACTAATCACGTAATCGTGGGCTGGAGTGTCATTTCGTTGATTTTTACTGGAGAATTTGGGAAAGAATGAGAGACGAACAGTGAATTTTATTATTTGCTCTGGAAAATTGACGTGACTGTTACGTAATTTCTTACGAACTTGTAAAATTTACCACAGTTCCGGTTAAAATTATTCTGAGTAAAGTAAAAATTATCCAGTTTCACTTGAATTTTACGTGACGTACCGTAATTTTTACGTGACTGAATTGAAAAATTCCTAGACAGCGTTGGTACGACTGTTGGTCATACCCGATCGCGAATCATTGTCTAAGTTCGGATCACGCCACCCGGCAAATTACAATTGTCGGAAAGATAATTAGTATATTGTGCCTCTAGGGAGTAAAGTATTTTCTGACGAAATGTGAGTATAATCACATGAGTCAGAAAATTCTTTATTTCCGTGAGGCACACAATATTTTATTCTCGTAGGGACCGGAAACGGCGATCTAACCGAGCGAAGCGAGGTTAGAATCGTACTTTCTAGTCCCGGCAAAATTTACGGAACAGAGTATCGTTATTTTTCTACCTCCAAAGGTGACTTTTTACCGACCGAGTGGTAAAATATTCTGAATGATCGGCACTTTTTCCGATTTTACATTTCTCCCCATGTTTACCTTTCACACATGAATTTTTACGGAACTTTTTACGTATTTTTTCCAGTATTTTTCTCTCCGTGTGGGATTGACCTGCAGAAATATAATGTTTTTGCGTTTTGTCATTATTTAATAACTCACCAAATTTCAAAGTGTTGCATACATTTTTCTGCATTTTTTCTAAACTTTAACTTAAAAAAAAAATCACAAATCTGTTGAAGAAAATTCATGAAAATGATTGCACCACCACAAAACACCGTGAGCCATTAAATAATGACAAAAGGCTAAAACGTTATATTTTTGTATGTGAATTCCATAGATAATTTATAAAAAAAAAAATGTTAAAAACGTGAATTTTGGCTATATATGGGTGTGGAGCATCTTTAACTGCTCATGGTTATTATTACAAACTACCTGAGACGTGGGTGGGGGGCCATTGCGTCACGCACGTCAGCGGTCGATACCGATGTAAAGAAAATCCTAGACTCGAGACACGCGAGTCGTTTAGCCATTTTTTTTTCACCCCGACAATCTCCTATTCCCATATCGCCGCAAATTCTGTTATTTAAAAGACCAGTAATTTTAGACAGTAATTAGCGTGGAGATTTTTTACAGCAGTTAGACCTCAGACGAACCGGTATTAAATCGCTAGCAAATCGATCCTCGATTTGAATAAATCGATAACATACGATCGGTAGAGTGAAAATCCATGGTTTTTCGACAGTTTGAGGGGTGGTCTTCGGAGTTTAAAATGGGAGCGGATGCCTCCAAATTGCATCGCTCAGTTTTAGACGATTGGGTATTTTCTTCGACAGGTTCTCATGTCTGTGTAACAAGAGTTTGAAATTATGAGGTACAATAATAATCGAGGAGACAATAACTCCTCCGTGACGTCAGTTCACTCGTGCCTCGGGGCGCACGCTAATTCCACCGACTTCCGGTCGCTAATTTGCCCGGTAAATTTGTCGAATTGCCTTGAAGGAACGACAATCGATGCACTTTGAGTGCGAGGAGTCGGACGAAAGGAGATTGCCAATTTTAGAACATCTATCCATCGCTTTGGTAAATTTATCATTGAAATCAAATTTTATTTAAGATATTCACGACCAAAAAAAATACTTTAATCAAGTATATTCGATTTTCGATTAATATCAATTAAAAATTTATTCTCCCACCATTCTAATAACAATTATGAATTTTATTATTATTATTGTTATATATAAATTTTATTATTTTAACTATATTCTGTAAAAGGTGTAAAACCAGATAGAAAGAAAATAAAGTATCTTATCTTATCTTAACAATATAACGTATATGTTTGAAATATAGAATATAATTCATTCAAGTATTTTTTTTTTCGCATATATTTTAGAAGTTTTGTCATGATGTTATGGATTTCGGATGGAAAAGTTAAAATTTCCTCTTTCCTCCGCTGGAAAATTCAGGTAGAATAGGGCAGAATGAGCCACGAAACATTGATATCACTCTACCCATTCACCTCCTTTGAAAGCTGCGGGGTTTTCAAAGATTTGAAAAAACAAGTTTTTGATACCACTCCCCACATCATTAATCACCCCTGTATCGAAAGTTGAGGAAAGGGTGATATGTACACCAGTGATACCAAATCTGAAGTCCATTCCATCGATCAAGTGTATCCGAGATAAAAAAAAAAACAAGACGAAATTAATGACGTGGAAGGCTGCAAGTGCCTGAAGAAACGAAAATTCACTCCGAGATAAAAATAGTCAGACAAATCATGACTAGTGGCTATGAAAATCACGCGATTAATTAAGGAAAAATTATGAATTGTTATTTTGGAAAAACGTTGTGGTATTGATTTTTATTTTTTAAGACGAAAATTATAGAAATTTGTGATTTTCAATCCACGAAATCGTTGGA